GAGTGTGTCGTCATATCAACAGTTTCACTTAAAATCCCACGGGACAAACCACAAGTGGTCGTGTAAATGAGAGACCGGACGGGTGAGGCCTATTCCAAAGTCGGGTAACTAAATCTAATTACGTCGAAAATGTCGTGGCGCTGCAGCCATGTGCATCGGGCGAGCGCGACCGGTCAAGGGTTCATTCGATTAGGTAGCAACTCGAGCAATCTATATAGGAGAGACGGATGCGAGATTCACTTCTGACGTGCGAGATTAGCAGCGTGGTCGTGAATGGGAAAGGATCAGGCAGTAATCGCGCGCGTAGGTTGACAACGATCCGAGCCCCCAACCTCCTACAGCGTGTATTTTCGGAGTCGTTTCACTAAAGGTGGTGAGAGGTGACGTAACGAAGCATAACGCACATATAGACAACACGGCGGAGGGTCGATTCACAGGATCGTGACACTCACGCGCGGCACCGGGGGCTGTGCTCGAGCCCGAGGGATGTCATATCACAATCGCAGGGAGTATGGAACACGAAAAAGCACCAAGTCCGCGCTTGCGGTTCGCCGGCGAAGTTGCGCGGCGCCGCGCGAGAAGTTGGAGGGCGCGTTACGCTCGCGAGAGGTCGGGCCAGGATTGACTACACTACCGGCTGTTTACGGATCGCGCGCGCAACGCGGGCACCTTCCCCGTGGCAAAGAGCTTGAACTTTTCGCGATTAAACCCTCATCGCGATCTCAGAAACCCGACACCGAGTGGCGATGGCGGTGGCGACAACCGCGCGAACCGCACTGTGAGTAAAGGAGACGACGACGACGACGACGACGTCGTCGTCGTTCTCGCGCGTCTTCCAACAACTTTCGTGTCAACGCCGGGCGATCCTTCGCCACCACTTCCGCCACGTGCTCACCCGCGCAGCACAATCGACCCTGCCGCGATGATTTCGCGACGATCGACGCCGTCGACGAAGAACCTGTGTAGTGTATGTTTATGGACAAAGGGGTGCGGAACGCGTCGCTCGCGATCTACGTTCTGCGGCATACTAGCTCTCCTGCCCTGGCGCCCGCCGCCCACATCACCCCCCTCTCTCTTTTCTCCCCCGGGTTTCTGCGACCCCTCCCGCAACCCTCTCTCGGGGGCCGCCCGCCCCGTACGTCAGATCCTTCCTTTCGCCCTCTACCACGGCTTGCAAAGCGGCGCGGTGGCGGTGGCGTGCCATGCCGCCCCCGCATCGACGGACCGACCGTTTCGCAGTACCGTCAGCGCCGGTAGCTGCCACCACCGGACGGGGTTGGTGTTGCGTACCGGACGTTACGGCGCCAATCAATCGTGATCCAGTTTCAAGCCCCGACGTTTATTCCGGCACTCACATCCCGCTCGTTCAGCCGTCCGAAGTACCGCTCGTAGTAAGAAGTGTCCTCTCAACGAGCTTGTGCTCGGGGAACACACCCTCTCCCTTCCTTTATAAGCTTTTTTAGTGCTCGACAACGTTGGTACATACACCGTTCTGACATATACCGAGTGTCCTAGACCTAACGAATGCCCTCTCAGTTACCCGCGGATATATATTCTGAAGAGATCCAACTAGGAAAGAATCCCATCCTAGTTATGCGTGCAGAGTAAACTTTCGCAAATGAATTGCCTTCCCCGCGCATCGTTTTTGCAAAAATGTTGCAACGAATTGAGTGATCCTTCATCCTCGCGTTATTCTTGCTTGCCTAACGTCTTTAATATTAAGTTTCGCTCTTTACACGTACAAAATATCGCGTTAATTAAGTTTTCAGAGCAATTAAAATCACAACAAGAGATTTAAAATTGTTTGAAAAATAACGTAAAATACTAATAATTTTATAGAAAAATCTTTTATGATAAAAATTAATTATAGTTCACACATAGTAATTAAATTCGTTAGGATAACTACAATTGTACGAAAAAGTTTATTCGCGACACGTTGAAAAAAAAAAAAACAAAATACACACGCTTGCAAAATAATCGGTTTCACGATTCTCCGTCTGTTGGAAAGTTTGTCACTTGCATATAAAAAACTACGCGATTACTATTCCGTACACTTTTACATACCGCGTTCGTTGTGGTTAATGAAAGTTTATCGCATACTTTGTATATACTGTATTTTTTTGCGCGGAAAAGCCACGGTTGTTAAGCATGATGAGCGTAAATTGCAATAAATATGTACATTTTTACGAGATATAAACCCCCTTCCCGCCCCCCCCTCCCCCCGAGTGTGTACGGGCTTTATCGAACTTTACCATTTTCCCAAAACATTTAAACGCGCGTGCATTTATCTCCGGGATGTTTGCCGTGATCGCCTATAGTCGATGGATTAAAGGCTCTATCTTCCTCCTCTCTGTCATACATTTTAATGTAAAGCAAGCGTTCTTTGATGGAGCTGCTCATCGCTGCGCGCGATCGATTTTCTGACCATAATATTATTTCCTGTCAACGAAGCAACAAGTTCTCGCGTATTGATCAAAAAAATACATAATTCCTCCTCCTCCCTCCCTCTCCGCGGTTGCGGAATATAATTTGAAAACTTTGATCTACAGCAGCAATTTCGCGTATGTAATTGCCGACGTTTACATATATAGCGCATATAGAGAAAATGTTTTTGCAAATAAATTATTTTGCGATACGCGCCCGACATTTATCCGAATTTATTTATCGCATCGCGAAATATAAATATTATAACTTTTGCGCGACGATTTTGAATTTTATGTCGAACACGGTTCGAGAGCGCGCGATTTTCGGAAAGTGGCGCGCGTTGAATAATAACGGGGGGATTTGCACGATTATTTACGCTTTCAAGAATTGTAAGAAAACTATCATCCGTCGTTTTTACCGACCGTCGAATTTTTCGCTCACTCCGGGCTGCCAAGCAAAACGCGCGCGCGGAAAATCCGGAGCCGAGAAAAATACACGAGATGAACATTTGATATACGACGGGAAGTAACTTCAGCGCGCATGAATAGCAAATGTGGCAAAAGCTAACCCGAGAGAAAGGAAGAGACAGCGAGACTTGTTTTTTTTTTTTTAATTTTTATTATTGATCCCAGTATATTTTCTTACGTACGCGCGCAAAAGTTTCTGCTTATTTTCTACGATGCAATGTGTATGTGTGTGTGTGTGTGTGTTTGTTGTATAGTCCACGTGGACATGTCGCCACTGAATTAGAAATACCTCGTAGAATATTCCGCGGCTCGCGTGACGCTATCTTATCGATCTCGTGAAAAACGCAACATATAAGTTACCGTCGCATAAATTTTCAATTCAAGAATATTGAAACGCGCGCACAGCGTCTAGCTACGTAAATCCTCCAGAAATAATTCTCTCTCTTTTTCTCTCTCTCTCTCTCTCTCTCTCTCTCTCTCTCTCTCTCTCTCTCTCTCTCTCTCTCTCTCTCTCTCTCTACCACTCTTTCTCTTCCGGTATGTATTTATAGATATAATATTTTTCTTTCTTTGCGGAAGGAAGGAGGAACACACACAGCGTCACAGTTTTCCCGTCAAACTACTCAATCTAATTAAATGCATCTCGCGCCAGACGCTCTTTTTATTTTTGTCCGTTCCACTTGTGTCTACTAATCGAAGTAGGACGACCACATCGATTTTGGCCGTATCCAGCACGGAGTGCCAAATATCTCGTGAAAGGACACAACCGGGGGGGTCCTCATCGCCATTTCTCGAGAGACGCTCGATCTAAAATAAGACCAGACAGAAAACAAACGGGACCGGCGAGAGGGGGAAGTGCGAGAGGGAGAGATTGCAAATAAATAACGAGCATAGCTTCAAGGATGAAGATGGGATTAATAAGGCGCCTGGTAACGAGGATAGCTATCAGAATGCGTCGCGGCCCGATTAAATCGCTTGTCCCGTGTTCTCGATCCCTCTCTTCTTCTCTCTCCCTCTTTCTCTCTTCTCTTCCGCGCGCTCTTCTTCCTACATTTATCTTTCCCCTGCTATATAATTCTTCTCCTCTCCACCCGGTTCTCTACCCGCCCGCTTTCCGCACCGCCCGTTCTGCAGCTACGGGATTTTTAACAGAGAATTTTAACGATCGACCTACATTTCCGCGTCCCATTTACGGTATATCCCGCGGTAATGTCAAACACCGCGATAAATATACTAGCCGGAGCGACGACGGCCGTCTCTAACGACAAACGGCGGTGTTGTTAACAGACCGGACGATTATCGGGGATATTCACGAGGGGATGGTTTCGGCGGGACGCGCCACTACTACGATCGTTCGATAAGAGTATCAATCTTTCTTCGCGGATTTTTCGAGCCGCGAAACTAACATTTTCAAACCAATATATCTTACCGTCGTATGTAACATTCACAAGTATACGCACGACCATTGCGATTAATGTAAATGTTACGCAGTTTTCTTTTTTCTTTCTTTTTTTTTTTTGGAACAATTGAGAAATTTTATCGCACAATAAAAACTGTTTACACGTAAACGCACAATGATATATAATAATTTCTTCTTTCTCTTTTGCTTCTCAAAATTGAGTTCTCGTTCGTGCAAATAAATGGGAACGTCATTATTAATACGTAACGTAAACGCCAATCAAGCAACGCTTGATCACTGTTTGCGCTTGAGTAATTACAGGCGCGACGCGAGGTTTGCTGCTAACAATCAATTAGCAGTAACTGTCTCTCGCCGCATAAGGTTTAAACTGTCATCCACATTTTAAGAAGAAAGTTAAAAAAAAGAATCATTTTACAATAAAACTAACTCTCGTCTTGTACGTGCTACCGTGTCTTAATTTTATTTTAAAAACTTCGGCAATTTCTCCAACAGAGAAATCGCGCATCAAAACCGCTTCGTGTATAAATTCGCGGATACGAAATTTGGAATTTCAAACTGTGCCAAAATTGTCGCAGCGTCGCATTTCACGTGAATTGGGTTAAAAGACTTTTTAATTCGGCAGAAATTAATCTCTGGCGGAAATAAATAACCGATTGTTTCCCGGGGTACTAAATTACAAATTTACTTACCCTCATGTGCGGCTGGACCAATAACTCGTGAAGCTCTCTGAGATCGGCTCTATCGATATTCCGTACCGACGAGTGTTCGGCTTCCCGAAGAATTTCTTCGACCTCGCGAGCACGTCGAACCGCATCCGTTTGCGGTGCCCGATATGGCGTCGGCACGCGACCTGAGATTCTGTCATAAAGCTAGAAACAAGCGACATCAATTAATCATCACGCGAGTCTCTCGCAAATAAATTTATGTGTGTGTGTTTACATATATTCATATTTATAATTAAAGTTTAATTAAAATAATTAATAAATTACAGAAAACAACATTTCTCAATAAAAGAAACGTTCAAAGTACGTATTCAAACTTTTCTTTGTACAACACGTTAGAGTTGTGAATTAAAATTATAAATAAGTTTTTCGATCACACCGCGGAAACGTTCAAATTTGCGAACACACTTTTTATAGAATTAGTATTAAATTTTTCTTTGATATAACTCTCTCTCTCTCTCTTTTATCCCCATTGACCGAAATAGATTTTTTACTCACCAGGAGACCTGCGATTTCGAGCAGATCGCCGGCTAGCTCGGCGTCGCCGAAGAACATTAACTGACAGAGACGCATCTCTCTGCCCGCTTAAACCTATCTCTGTGTGCTATAAATCTCACCGCGCACGTGTTGCATGATACGAACACGTGGCGTTCCAAACCGGCCACGTGACACTTCAGGAACCACCGGGGAGTAAGTTCACGTCGGCACGCGTGTTGCCGCGATTCTGCGATCCCTCGATCGTGCGTGGCATGGTTGTTTATCAGAACCCCACGGCGGCCATCTTGCCAGACCGGAGGCAGCGCTTGCGTGCTTTTCCCCGTCGGATAAAACGAGGGTGGGTGACCGTTCCCGCGGGATTATGTTAGCAAGGGGTGAAACGCTTGGGAGGCGATTTTGGTACCGTTCACGGCCGTTGAGGCCGCCCAAGTGATTCGGGAAATAGGGTGGCTCCGTCACGTAGTGGAGAAACTCAAGCTTCGCGCCGACAACAGCGCGGGAATCGACGGGCGCGCGAAAGAGGAGAGAGCTTTTCGACCGTCGATGCGAGAGGGGTTGAAAACGGAGGGGTTGAAAACGGAGGGTAACTCCGAGATTCCCCGAGCGCGTGGCGTGGCGCGATCGTCATTTGCCACCCTCGATAAGAGAGCGACTTTGTACAGTCTGTTTTACCCTGAGCGTTTATTTTGCCACGAAAGCAAGATTTTCTGTTTGTTGTACTTGCAGTCGATGGAAGGACACTCGTCGAGCGATAAAGATAAACAACATTGTAACATTGATAATTTAAAACTCGCAAGAAATCTCGTGAATTCGCAATTTACTGCGAGGTGAGCAGATTTTTTTAATCTTCTCCTTTATGCGTTTTATTTTATGTGTATTTTTTTGTGCCAAGTAAATGTAAAGATAGTAGAATTGTAACACAAACCACATGTCACGAGTTCCTTAGAGATAATCTTTTCTAATGCTCCGTTAATCCATTGCAATTCTTAGTTGAAAACAAAAGAAGAAAAGAAACGAGAGAGTAAGAAAGTCGTTGAAAGCATATAACGCCGGAAATTTGTAAAAAGACATTCAAAGCAACGTGTGACTCTAAAAGTAATGTGCTGTTCGCAAGCGTCAGTGGAAGATTTTTCGACGCAACAAAATGATGCATCGTGACGGTAAGTTTTTTTCTAAGTTTACGATCGAATTAAGAAAAACTTCTTTTCTCTAATCTCTCTTTACTTTTGTTTTCTTTGTCCTCTTTTTCTTGCAAAAAACATATTATTAAGAGACTATATTACAAGTTTTATCTCTGCTTTTTTTTATCGACATAGCAATTTTGCATAAAAGTCAGGAAAAGTTGCCAAACGATTTTTGTAACAACTTTAATATTCGAAAACGTAGCATCGTTTTTTCAAGCGTGATCGCAATTACAGAAATTCGTAAATTAAAATAAGAGTTGAACAAAAATAAAATATAAAATGATCAAATTTCACATAAATAAACATATTTAGTTAAAGTATAATAATATATTACGTATTATATAATATATTATTGATTAAAAATAAAATAGAGTCATAAAAAACAAATTTATTAAATAACGATATTTTCTCTCTGACGAGTAATTAAATTTGCGAAAAGTTTGAATACTAAATCTTGAACTTTCTTTGTTTCGTTTTTTTTACTTGTTTTGCTTGTTGGTATAGTTTTGTTTTACGTAACCAGACAAAAAATACCTCTAAAATAGCTCGAAGCCGATGGTCGTCAACGGCGTTGAGAACTTCTGCCCGCAACAATCTGTCACTTTCCTCGAGAATCTCAATATCATCCAGAGAATCTAAAATTTCGGCTACAGCCCCTGCAATACAGCATAAAACATTAAGTTTATAGAATTATTTTATTAACGTTCTCGAATAAAAAAAAAAAAATTGTTTGAGAAAAACTTGCCAGTATTTACTAGTTTAGAATTATTGTACAATATCTGTCACGCAAAAAAATAAATGGATAGAAAAATCCGTTTAGACGAAGTTGACTAAAAATTAATCAGAAAGCAGCTACATTGACTAGATCAAAAAACAACAACTGGTGTTTGTCTAGTGAAAACTCCAAATAGTTCTGGTTATTGTCACAAAGTAACTAGAATCTGATCAGTGCAAACTAATCGATATATAACAGCTGATTTATTTAACAAAACGCAATATTCCGCTTGTTAAAAAACAGCAAAAGTACAAATTATATAAATCGGTTCCCTATTATTCAATTATGAGAGAAATAATGAGACCAATATGCTGGGTGTAAAATATTTGTTGAAAGTGTAAATTAATAGAGAACATATCGAGTTGTAACTATATGTGTAATTAAATTAAATTAGCTATATATTTCAATATTTTTCATATTTTTCATATTTTTAAACTAGCAAAAACTGGCTGGTATTACTGGTCGAGAACAATCGGTTACTAAATTTGGCAATTTTCATCTAATATTACCTGGTTTGGCAAAATTAACTAGTTAACAGCTATATTCTGTTTTAATTTCTATTCGAGGTGCTTTGTGAGACTCGTGTTCTAACTCCCCTAACACCTTACTACTACGATAACAATGGTGCTAACTAGAATAGTATTTATGTATAAGAAAAGACAATTTAACGTGTGCACGGGAATCACAGACGCTTTACATTACACGTTTTCTTGTTTCTGGAACAGTGTGGCTCAGAACAACGCGAACGAACACTGCTCCAGATCAATATTATCGTTACTTTATAATTAATCGTCTTAAAATTTCGCAAGTAGTTTGTAGGTAACGAAAACTTTAATAGGAAAATTTCCTATTAAAGTATCACTTTTAACGAGATATATATATATATATATATATATATATATATTGTGTAATGTATATGCTCTTGAAGCAATACATTGCGTAACTCGTACGTGTAACATGTAAGTATATAGCGTATGTCGACTGATTAAATTTCGAGATCGCTTGTCTAGTTCGACGCACCTGTAATTGTCACCTCGTCGTCGCCGACGTCGGAGAAATTGTCGCCATTAGATTCTGAATACGGGATGTGCCATTTAGACGAGGAGACGGCTGCTTTTACAGCGTCCTTCAATTTTCGTCTTGCATTGAATTTCTTAAGCTCTTCTATAGTGTCGCCTAAATGTATACGTGCCGCACCCTTATCACGATCCTGCAAGGTGAGATCCGTTCATTCGCTATCAAATGTGCAACGAAGTAATTCACTCCGTAACGAGAGAAACACGCGCGCGCGCGCGCGCTTCATTCATTCAATTTCCCACAATCAATTGAGAGATTTCTACCCTGTCCGCAACTGCGCCAAAAAAAAAAGCCGCCGCATGCAATTGTCATTCGCAAAATTTTCTAACGTTCAACAACGCAAGTGAGATTACATTGAGAAAACAACTGTAATCCCTTAAATGCATAAACAATAAAAAAAAATTAAAAAAATAAAAAAAAAAAAACTCCAAGTATCATCAGCCGAGCGCGAATATACCAGTTTCATTATTTTTCTCAGCTTAATCGAAGCGTGTTAGAGCGCCGTATAAACGCGGGAGAGAGAAGAAAAGCTCGATTATACTTCGCTTCCACGAAGTCTACGGGGGTTCGACGAACGGTGCAAGCCGCGTAAAAAAGCTCTAAGCAAACGCGCGAGCCAGCTAGTACTTTCCACTCTACAGTTATTTTCATTAACCCGTGGTGTGTGCGCTCCGCGGCTCCTATGCTATATAGCGATCGATAGCCCTAGTTGCACGTGTGTGTTGCAGCTAAGAAGCGATGGGGGTAACACTACCCGCGAATGTGTGGTGTCTCGCTACCTTAGGTCACTGGCTAACTGTTGCACCACATAGGTGGTGTATCCCCTCAACACCATACGGCGTGCGCGTGCGCAACGCACATTCATCGGACGCACAGAAAGTAAACGGGGAACGAGGCCACGTGTATATATATATATAATAGGCCGTAATTATAAAATATAAAACCCGATGTGTGTGCGCTCTCTGTCACGACCCGCGATCAAACGGAAACCGCCGCATCGATTATCCCTACAGGAGTGCGGTGTGTGACATCTCTTCTCTCTTTCTCTCTTGTCGTCACCGACGCCCGTGCGAATTATCATGCGGATAGATGAAAAAATACACAAGAGAATTTTCTCTTCCTCGTGCTACGTGTCCCCCTCACCCTCCCCCGCCGATCTTTGTTCCCGTCTTATGCAGATAAGGAAAAAACCAACCACGCGGATTCAACGAAAGCGCTCCGTTTTACTTACTCTAAGCCACTTGTGGTTGAGAACCTCTTGAATGGTGATCCTGTGATTCACGTCAGTGGTGAGCATCCTCTGTATGAGATCTTTCGCCGGCTCGCTGATGGGATCCCAGAGTGGCGTCTCCATCTGCAAATTTAATTAAATCGGAATTACTCGGACAGAGAGAGAGAGAGAGAGAGAGAGAGAGAGAGAGAGAGAGAGAGAGAATTTCACAGCTGCGCCGACCGAACTACATTGTAAAAGCGCGACTCGGCGGCACGTCCGAGTAACGTGGCGGTGAAAAAGCGATATTACAGCGAAGCGTGTGTCATGTTCGCGCAATCGCTCGTTCTCCAGATTGCGACAGCGTGTGCCAAAACGCTGTTAATCGAAGTTAATAAAGTTGCGTTTTACCTGCACCCGCCCTCGGCAGATCGCTTCCCGCAGTCTGTCTCGTGATCCGACGAACGGAAGTGTGCCGGTTAACAGGACATGGAGCAGAACTCCGGCCGACCAGACGTCACCGGGTTTTCCGTATTGTCGCCGTTGGATCACTTCCGGCGCCATGAAGTGCGGACATCCGACACGACCTGCGCGATCAAGATCGTCGTGAGCGAAAAGGAGTAGGAAGGAAGAAGAGGGGGCGGGCTAAAACGGCGTCTCTAAATGCGAAATCAGCGAAATGGAAGCGAGGCGTGAATGATTGCTCGATGGAAACTTCGCAGTCGATCGTTATGCAAAACGGAAACAGTGCATTCGCGACAAGTACCGACCGCGCGAATTTGTCTACCGAATGGAGAACGCATCTGCGGTTGATTTTCCCTCTATTTCGCCGGTTTACAACGCGCACATACACAAAATCGATAATCGGCGCAACAAGAGGCGTTTTCTCCCGTGCAAAAAAAAAAAAAAAAGAATCGATCTCGTCTCGATGACAAGAGAGAAAATTCGAGCTGCGTTTTTTTTTTTTTTTTTTTTTTTCTTCAATTTGTCTTCGCGTTATCAGAAACGCGAATCGGATCGACTGGACGTATATCAGGTTTAATTAAGTGGCAAGATACGAACGTGACAAACGCAAAATGCTACTGCACATTCCTCGTAGAAAAAAAAAAAAAAAAAGAACAAATATATACACTTGTCGCAAAAGTATAGCACCGATTCTCTTCGTCACGATACGTGAGCGCAAAAAATATCGTCCAACAATTCACGGACGATAACGAGCGTGCTCTAAAACTTGCTTGCTTTCAACAACCTATATTTATTAAGAAAATCGGTAAATGACACAGAGAAAGCGGCACGGGAGGGAATGTGGGTCACTGAACGTTGAAAAGTGTGTACATGGGAAGAGAGATGATTGAGGCTGTAAAAAATAAAAAAAAAAAAAAAAAGCAAAGACGCGACGTAACTGCGAGTACATCGCGCAAGTACATCGTGTTGTGTATATACATATGTATATGTTGTCAACGCTAGAACAAAATTGACGTTACGTTATCGTGTGTGTGTGTGTGTATGTGAGTTTACGTATTTATGTACACACGAACTGCGAGAGATTGTGTGCTAATGTAAAATAAAATTATATAGTTATCCTTTCTGAAAAAAAAAAAAAAGATAAAAATATAAAACGTATTTTGTCTTCATTTCAAGGATTTGTTACGTATATATATATATATATTTTTTTTTTCTGCTATATAAATTATATGTTCTACATACAATCTCTGCTCCTACGTGTGCCGTTCTATCTATTGAATGGACTCTTAACGTAGCTGTGTGTATTTCATCGTGTTCTCTCCGCTCGTGAAAGAAGATCGAATGGTACATGAAATATTCTACACCCAATGGGCAAACTCTATTGTATTATATATAGGGACCAAAACAATGTTCTTATCTCACATCTTCGCGTCTGCGTCCTTTCTACACGTATTTCATAAAAAAAACGTGTACACAATACTCTTGAAAATTTAACACACATATTTTGTACATCATATATATGTAATAGATTTTTTTTCAAACAAAGTGCATATTTTGTATTTTCACTTATGTAAAAGAAAAACAAAAAGAAATCATAAATAAACACCACATTGCGTATATATCCTTTGAATTTAGAACTTTAGAACGAAAAGTTAAAATGGTGCTGGTGCGAAGAAAATCTCTGATGGGTGTGCATTTATTTCGGACAAAAAACCAAAGTTCTTAATATTTCAAAGACAATAAAAATGAAGGGAGAATAAATGTATTATTGAAAAACGAGGTGTGCCACACATAAAACAGGTGCCAACGTATACTACGCATACATCAGAAAACGGGAATTATTCATGCGGGTTTTCACATCGAGCATGCAAGTTATTGTTTTTCTATTGAAATATATTGAAGTTTAATGACGACGCGTCAATATAACGTTAAAATTTTAATAACAAAAACTCACGCGCGCTAAACTGGGAGAGAACGTGTAATGCAAAAACCTATATTATCAAGAAAAATACTTCAAATTCAGTCGCTCGATTTGGCGGTTGCCGCTCGTCGGTCGCTCCATCAGAATCCATATAAATTTACTCGCTATTCAAAGAAACTAATTAATTGTGTGCAAACGAAGCGGCGAGTTAATAACTCGACATGCGCTTTACACACCAAAGTGTATTTTATAGTTGCTGCGGGATGATGCACGAGCGATCCGGAAAATTTCTGACACATACCGGGAAAGTTTAGTATCAAATAAAACGCGCGATATACACAAAACATGTATATATATATTGTACGTACGCGAAACTCTCTTCATATTCAAAATTTATTATTCGGAAATGCGGAATGTGTCGCTCGAGGTAAAATCATTGACCGCGTTAAGTATTGTTAATGAGAAATATGGACTCTCGACAATCATATTGTCGCAAAATCCAAGTTTTCATCAACAACGATATACAATGTCGATTTACCTCACGGTGAGATTTTATTGTCTGTTCCAGTTACGACGATTCTCGTACAAATTTGTTGTACGAGAAGTTGAAGAGAGAATAGACTTTTGTAACACACCGTTGCCACAAATTCATACTTAGTTTTTATCGGAACAAATTTAACGATATCTCATGTTTTAATAATAATAATAATAATAATAATAAAATAAACTGTGCGTAAGACAGAATAAATATTCAATTCATAAAACTAGTTTAATCCAAAGTAAATATTTATGAGATATTTTTACACGATACTTTGACGTATTATTTAAAATCGTCGCAATATTGATCACTCTTTCATAAATTTCAATTGCGAAAGCTTGAGCGAATTACGCGCAAGTTTGAGTGATACGTATCATGTAATAAATAACAAAAACTTTCCGTTCTCGATTTAATTTGCTTTTGTGTTTTTTTAACACAAATATAATCTGTACTACTTTCTACTTGCGGAATTACGTTTTAAATTTAAATGTTTATGTGAAAAAAAAAAAAAAAAAATATTTAAAACAAAATGAAAATCAACGCGAGAAACAATTGCGACAAAAATTTTACCTCAAAATAGCAGCAAGCTCTCTATACACATTCTATATACATTTCCCGATATTTCCCATTTTCACTCGTGAATCAGCTTGTATAAACATCAGAAGTTTGCGATGAGATGTCACTCCGATTGAATATCATCGAACAAACATCAGTACATATCAACCGAGCGCGTTGTGTCCTTCTTCTCTCCTTTTTTAATTAAAAGAGAAACGAGGGGAATTAAATTCTTGCGCGACTTTGCAGAGTGGGAGAGAATATCGCGTTTCGTGGACACGCGATACATCATCATAAATACAGCCGTAATATTGCACACCTGTCGGTCCGGATTATCGAGTTTCATAAAAACGAGACGCTGTTCTAAGAAGGTTACTAGATATTTGCAAATTACGAAACAACAAAAACACGCAGTTATATACCGACTTATTTCTTGACAATAAATTTCACGACTCTTGTTAGACGCAAATATTGACTGTTGTAAAAATGACTCATTTATAAATAAAGCTTTAACAAACACACACACAAAAATCACTTTTTTGTGTATTATTATTATCGTTATTTTCTCAATAAACAAAGATGAAATATTTTTTTTTTTTATTATTCGATATCACCGCGCGATACACTTTCGCGATTTGATAACAGCTTCGTGTACGTTTATCGCGTTTGTCTTTCTCGCTGCAAATATATTTTCACAAATATTCTCGACGAGATATAGTAGTCTTTCTCTGACGTGGCGTCTATTTTCAATTTGTCATCAATAAATGATGAAAGACAAACACAAAGCGGCATACAAATAGACAGACACACACAGAAACACACAGGCTAGTCTACCGCTACGAACAATGACGACACAGCAGTCCCAAATAACGTGGACAATTGGTTTCGCGTAACCAAAGACTCAAAGAAAAAAAAACAATAGTAGAACCGATTGAAGGGTTTATTACGCCTAAATTAAAAATGCGATTGCCGCCGAGAAGAAATTACGTCGAAGATAAGAGAGATAACAAACAATCCAATACAATTCTGTAGAAACGTTAGAAATTGTTTTGTTTTAGCATAAAAATAAATACTTTATTTGTACAATGGTTGTCGTCTAGTTTGTTAAATTGTTATCTAAAATATATCTTATTTTATGATACAACAATGCATTCGATTCAATTCAAACAGATCATGTCGCGAATGCACTAGTCAGAAAACAAAATCTATTATTGTCCGGCTTGCTAGCCGTAGCAAATAATAACACATGTTTCTGTTTAGTTTATATATATCTAACACGTTTACAAAACAATCGTTGCTCCGATGAGGATCCTTGCGCATCGATCACGACGAGAGAAACAACACAAATATCAATTTTCGATTTAATCTCGGAGCGAATTTGAAACAAAAAAAAATTACAAAACATGTTTTTTTTCGCGAACTATTAGTAATGTTTATTTCATTGAAACCAAAAAACTCCGAAAAGGCTGTATAAAAATATCTGGATATTAATTTTTTTTTTTTTTTTTTTTTTTTTTTGTATTGTCACCGACGAAGTAAGACAAGAAGACACGAATAACGTAACGAACCCTTCAATCCCGTCAAAAACTCATCCCAATCCTACAATGATGAGAAGAAGCAGAACTTGCGTCATTCGCGCGTTACAAAATCAGACACGCGACGGGGAGGGCGTGGAAACAGAGACAAGAGGAAGGAGTCGCTCGCTTCCTCTCGACACAGCGGCACACAACGAATATATATGTGTGTGTACATACATATATATATATATATATATATGTATTATATATATATATACACGTATATATATATATATACATACACACATATATTTTATATACTACGCGACCTGCACAACGATATCACAGGAGTACGTTCTATCGCAACGTGGGTCGAGTGTCTGTATAGACACCACACGTTCTCAAACTAACATAACTTGTGCCACACAGAGGGGGGTAGAACGTCGACTCTGCGCCACAAATGAGAGAGTAACCCGAGACCCATCGATCGCACGATGATTACGGAATGCGTAGCATTCCGCGTGGGCGGTCCTTCGCCCACGAAAATGAACTCCGGGATCGTTTCCCGGATGGGATAATAATACTGTTTCGTCAAAACCGAAATCTTCACCGTGTTAAATACAGGGTGTTAAACGCGGAAAACAATTAAGACGATTACAAGCGAGGCGTGAAACTCCTCGCATCTTTGTGATCGTTTTTCTGTTAGAAAAAAAAAAAAAAAAAAAAACAGCGAGTCATCTCATTTTTCCGGTCAGTGAAAAAAAATTTATTCCCCTCTTAAGGATTTCATCGAGAAAATCCTCTTACCCTCGGAAAGAGACACTAATCTTCAGAGAAAATTCTCTTGGTCTAAGGTAAGAGGATCTCTTCGGTAAAATTCTTCCAAAAAAAAAAAAACCACACACATTTTTTCTCACAGTGACTCAATAATCGCGCGAGAGAAAAGCAATTCCGGTCTTTCAAATTGTCACGAGAGAGCAATTTCTTCGAGTGAAATAAAAAAGAGACTTTATACTTTATGTACACGTTATAATGAATTTTTGATCAAAGTTCTTAATTGAATGGATGTTTCTTTCAATGTCTGTTAAAAAATACGCAAAGGAAAGAAATTGCACGGGGAAACACCCTGTATGTGCCCTGGCCTTGATACCGACTGGAAACAGCAGGCTCTCAATGGTAAATTACGATCGCGGCGATGTTATATAAGGAACCGGGCACTCGACTCAAGGACGCGTAAAAGGTTTAACTACTGAAAAGTAACTCTTTTTCCCCTTTTAACGGAGAGAAGCGATATATAATTTTTTAATTCTACCTCCCCCCGATTGCGGCATTATATTATTATCAGCTGTTAAAAATGTAGATGCGTGTTGACAGGCAATGTCGATACCGATATTGTCCTCCGTGTCGCTCACTAGCGAATCCTCGGCGTCGGTCAGGTCCTCGAAAGGGAAATTGCAGCTCGGAGAGATCAGGCCTATCGGAAAGAACAACAGAGAGAAAAAAAGAGAAGCGCTTGTTATCGGTGCATACGCGCGCGCGCGCGCGATGGATATTTCGAGCGCCGTGCGCGCGAAACTCCGCTCGGTCTCTTCCTCGCACGGACGACAAAGGTTACTTTGGTTATTTTGGTTTTTTTTGGTTATTTGGTTATTTTTTTTCATTTTTTAATCGTTCAACGTCGTTATCCGTAGTGGGAGACAGAACCTGTGGCTGTGTTCGTTTTGTGGGTTGGCTTCGTTTTTGTCAAAGAAACCAGAACTCTACTCTCTCTCGCGCGAGATCAAAGTCGAGGATCTCATCGCTCCGCTGATTGACTTTTGACACTGGTTTCTCTTTGGTGATGGTTCATACGTGTGTGTGTGCGTCTATCGGTATGTAAAATGTTGAGATTGTATCGAGATTGTATACATATATATATATATATCTCCGCGCGCTTGTCTCTGAGTGAGTTTACTTGTATTTCGTGACAAATATATAGAGAAAAAAATCTCTGCACCTAACTATGTTAAGTATATAAAAGTCTGTGCGAAGTCTGTCGGATTGGCTTGCTTTAATTCGTGTTCGTTTACGTAATAAACTTTGCAATAAAACGCGAAGAACAAATTTTCTCTCTCAAAAACACCCTTCCGGCTATCTTCCCGAAAGAACATTTTTAACAACGAATTTAATTGCTTACAATCGGAACGTATATACGCGATAAAACGCGCACGCGATAAATAAATTTCCGAATAGAAGAATAACAACAATTATAATCAGAAATCGTTTGCGTCCACGCGCGAGTGACAATTGACAAACAAAAATTGCAGTTAAAATTTCGCGATTAAATTATCAGCGAAGCGATTGTATAATTTTGCAATTAATATTCCAGCGTGACGATAAGCGTTATACACGACTCGAGGGTGACATCTTCCGATAAATTTCCAAGCCCGGTCCCACATCTCCATGGAGATGCGGGACGCTTCGATCTCAGAGATAATACATTAGTCAGCTTCTCTCGTACGTATTTAATGATTTAGCCAGTAAGTAAACATACGAACGCGCGTAAAGCAAGCAGGCAAGCAAGTGGCAGCTTCTAGAGTATCGTGGTGTAAATGACGAAAGAGAAAAAAGAGAGAGAAAGACAGAGGATTTACACGAGGAATAACGTTAATAAAATATGATTATACACATGTGTGGACGTGGTGGTTTATAACAAATTGGAAACGTGTGGACGTGGTGGTTGTTATAAAAATTGGAAATGTGTGTATACGTGTAAATATATAGATTATATATATATATATACATATATGTATATATATATATATATATATGAGCGTGAGATGAGACAAGGCTCCTGCGGAAGAGTAATGATTAAAGGTTAGATCAGGCTTACCCTCGTTGTCGGCCTTCAAGTAGAGCTGCCCCTTTGGGCTCAGACACTGCCGATACTCGGTCGTGTAACATGCTGTATTCATCCAAACCAAATTTCAAGTTATCAGATGCGTGTAATCAGAATCGACGCGCGGTTTCCGCGCGCAAATAGTCGCCGTGTGTGTAAATGCGTGATTCGCGAGAAAAAAACGATTCGAAGGAAGAAAAGCGCAAATGATAAACATTTCGCGTTTTTGTGAAGCAACTTTTCTCGTTTAAAAATGAGACGCGCGCGCGTCAGGAGAGATGTGTATACACATATATCAGCCGTGTGATAAAAATCCGGGTGAAAGAGCATTTAACGCGCGTTTTTTTTTACAAAAAAAAAAAAAAAAATCTCTGTCGGAAACGTCTATTTCGTTTCTGAAGTTAATTCCGGCAGCGAAAACCGACTCGTTTCGCGCGCGCGCGAAGAAATCGCGTGCACAAAAAGTTGGAGCGTTCGCAACGAACGACGACGGGTTTTCCAGTTCGATGTCTGGTCTATATTTAGGGCGAGAGTCCGCCGTCAAGTCCGCTCTCAGAATGCCAAATTAGTTTCCTCGAACACCGAGACGAGCAGAAGAGGCGAATAGCCCTCGCTCGCGGAATTGGAGGAGATTAATATCTGACTTTTACGGCGTATAAAAGCGTAACGTCTCTTACAACGTGAGGGCAATTAAACCCCTAAACTCTCTTCAAGTTCTTATCGCCGTTGAAATTCTCACTATCGATCGAGCGGAAACACTTGATCCTGTCGTCTCGTTACCGTGAAAGTGTTATGTTTCGTGAGCATCGCCGTGTACGGGGTGTGTCTTTACCGCAAATCTCATCGGTGTTACACGAAGATTCCTTTCAAATGTGAGAGAATGTTGTTCCGACAAACGGAATTCACGTTGTGCGCAAACTAAAACGTTTTTCCGATGTTTTACCCGTCAGACGCGTACTCTAATAGCGCGATTAATTATTTAGAAACACACAATTGATCAACAACACAAGTTACTTGGATAATCGACCGATAAACGTGCGTTCGATCAACAGCTCTCAACGGCAACGTTGCGGATGCTGACGTTGTCGCTCTGATATTAAGTAACACGGTCGTTAACCGATATTGATACAAATGATACGTATAATATAATTGCGAGATGGTGGAAAACAATTTATCTCGCGTGACGCTTCTTTAATATCGCATGGCGAAATAAATGTATCCGACTGAGCAGAACAAATTGCTTCGAAACGCACGCGGCAAGGTAATAATTGCGCCGATCACGCAACGGGAAGTATACGAAATCAGTCCCAAGAAACATTATGTGTAGCGATAACGTCAATACATATATAAACGTATGTATAATAATTTATACGAAAAAAACGGCAACTATGCAAGTGTCGCTAACATCAAGAGCATCTACTTATATATTGTGAAACCATGCGATATCGAAGCAGCGAAAGATCGTAAGTAGAAAAAAAAAAAAAAAAAAATGCACAAAACACCAACCGATATTGAGGCTGAAAAGAGAGAAAGAGAGAGAGAGAGAAAGAGAGTATAATATATCACGATGATCGTGAAGAGAAGAAACCCGATAGAAGCCGTTGCATTCTGCACATCGAACACCGAGAGATTTTTTGAATGTGATTTGCCAATCATCGACCAAGCCAGCCAATATAATCACAGAGTATAAGGCATTCAACAGAGAGAAAGAGAGAGAAAGAGAAAGAGAGAGAGAGAGAGAGACAGAAGAGAGAGAGCGATACGATACAAAAATACCGAGTGTCTTTGAAGTGGCGCTTGATGAGAGTCAGAAAACACATCGTATCCGTATCAAAGAAAAAAACTCGAACAAAAAAAGACAAAAATTTGACTAACAAATTCTGAGGAGGCAATATTCAATGCGCTTTCAATAGTTTTTTTTTTGTTTTTTTTTTTTTTTTTTTTACACCATCATCTGATGGATATTACAGTTCAGTTTCATCAGTTGGAATTATCGCGGTCGTGTTACGATAAAAAAAAAAAAAAAAATGACGCTGTATATCACAATATCTAGGAAAAAAAAATCTTTCCGTAAGAAGACAAGCGGTTTAATTTATACACTCCCGAGAACTTTGATCATCTTTCTACCATACGATCCGCGTATATATCCTCGGCAATAATTCTACTTCTCCAGGAGGACAGGCTCACAGTCGCAGCTTGTCGCTGAATATTTTAAAAGCTCTCTTACTTTAGTGTCATCGCGCGAAAAGGAGGACGCGCGCGAGGCTAAACGATATTCGCTCTTGTCACGACAAATTCGGCTCACAACGAGAGAAGACAACAATGTTGCCCCGAACGAAGTAAAATTAAACTTCTCCGGACACACATGTGTGCGAATAAATAAAGTCACAAACGTTAAGAGAAAGGTCAGGGAACGAATTTAACACACGTGTGACGTGCTGACAAAAAAAAATTATAATAATAGAGAAGTGGCCAATTCGAGGCGATAATCAGATCTTCGTGTCAGTAAACTTCTTTTATTTTATTCTTATTGACACGATTGATCTGGTTATCGCCTCGAATTGGCCACTTCCCTACTATTATAAGTTTTCACGAGGAAGAATACTGAAGTTAAAAAAAAAAATTACATCTTAACGTCGCAACGAGACAAGTGTGACGTGTCAATATATCTTTTGTTCAAAGCATATCGACGACCGTGTTGCAGTATCAGATTTGAAGCTCGGTATCTTTTTTATAGTCCATTAATCTTCTAAAAATAAGTGCAAAAGTTTACTACGTCGAGTCACAAAAAAAAAAAAAAGATTAAACGTACGTACGTACGTACATATATGCACACGTGCACACATATATACATATATATGCACATATGCAATATATATGTACATATGCTATATTTATAAAAATATTTGTTCAATCATGTTTGTAAAAAAAATTTAACTTTTTTGTAAATAAATGCATCCGCTTAACACTCTCTTCTTTTCTTTTCTCCTCTCTCTTTCTCTCTTCCAAATATTTAAATTATCGCGAACCTCTCCGCGTATAAATATGAATGCATGATGATCCTCTATCTGAATTTTTCCAGCGTTTGCGCAATAACAAAAATAAAAATAAACAATTCTCTCCAAAAACGTACGATAAAAAAAAACTATTACTGAAGAAGTTAACGATAAAGTTACTAAAATTGCGTATGATTGACACATGTGAATGTGACCTGTGAATTTGCGAAGAATAAATATAAACATAAATCTTATGTTTATAGTTGATGAAATTAATTTAGTGCGCAAAATTTGGTTTGTTCGGATCACAATCAAACCGGAAAATTAACGCTTCGCAGAAGTAAATTATAGATTGTATACGCAAGTTGATTTACCGGGGCAAAATGGCTGTGACAATAAAGCATTGAATAGTGCCTCTCAAGTGATTTACAGACATTAAGCGCAATATAATAATTATCGCGGAAACAGTTTATACATATTAGCGTAGAATTTTGCTAAAACACAAGTAGTGGCGTCGGCGCTGGTGTAAAAATTTTTCATAAAATCTTCCTTCATTTCTGGAAAGTATCACATAACTCACGTGTGAAATATTTATCTTCACTTGAGTTATTTATAAACTCTTCTCGAGATATTTCGCGTTTCTAAAGGAGAGCAAAAATGACGTGGGTTTCGAAAGATCGCTGCACTGAAAAAACAAAAAAATGTATTCTCATCGAAAGAATTTCCTAAAAATCTCACCGAGAGGAACTTTGAGAATTAATAAATTCACTTATACTCCAAAGAGTAAGAGCCGTTCCGGCGAAATTCTGATGAGAGCACATTTTGTCTCGATTCGCAATCATGCAAAGAACGCACGTTTCCCGGCGAATATTCGTATATTTCTCCCCACCCGTGTGTAATAATTTCGCGCGTGCCCTATTTCGTATAGCGCCGACTCCACTTAAAAATATTATGAAAAATTTAGTATTCTCAATGCCGTCGCGCTAAAAGCAGCACGCTCTGTCAGCTCTTGCGAACTATGTCACGAAAAGATAGAAGGGAAGGAGAGAGGGAGGCAATACGGGGCGGTCGGACAATTTGCATAGCTTTTTGAATAAATCCGCTTTTTTTACGCTTCGACGGTTTCGCGCTTCGGTTCGATTTGTGTTTCCCGGATTTATCGATACATCTCATTCGGTGCGAAGTAATAAAGAAGATTTTGCGAGATTTCATTTCGAAAATGCTATCCCCCCGTGATCGCGATTTAGAAAATTTAGTTTAACAAGAAGAACAAAAAAAAAGTGTACTATATATTCCGTCTTATGATAAGAGAGATAAGAAAAACTTTTCTTCAAGCGCGCGTTGGAAAATTATATTCAAACACTTCTTAAACATTCGCACAAAATTATACAAATCTGTCTGATTTGAAAAAAACTAGGCGCGATATTTGCATGGAAATGCGAGAAACTTTTTGCAAGCAACTGATAATTTTTCTTTTTTTTTTTTTTTTGATTACAGCGACCGTGACAGCTAATGCGCGCAAGAAAAAAGTGAGAATAAAGTGGGACAAGTAAAAACCAATTTTCCCAAAATGAAACTTTCGCTTGCGATTATTCTCTTGTCGGAATCTTAACTTTTTCTCCTAAATTGATTAAATTTTCAAAGTGCATCAATTTTAACAACAACTGGTTTTTCATACGCCACTGTTTTTTTGGAGTTTAAACGAACAATAATAATTGTGTGTACGTCACACAGAACGAGCCCCGGATAAGGGGAATCATTAATAACAGGGTCGCGGAGCTGACGTCGCGCGGCTTTCCACGTGAATCTCTAGACAAAATGCCACGTAAAATATATCGCGTGGGAAGGGTGAAAAAAACGTAAATGAATTAGAAAGAGATATGAACGTACCAACGCCATTAGACTGCGAGGTCGGGAGTTGCACGGCGACGCTGAAGCCGCGCAGCTTCACCGGGGCGGAATTTTCCTTGCCAGCCAGGAGGGCGCACTGCGGCTTCAGGTCACGATGAATAATGTCGTTCTCGTGGCAGTAACGCAGCGCTTCGAGGATCTGTCGCATGTAGTGACTGTAAAAGAAAGTGCAGTTTTCTTAGGTACCAGAACGGGGCCGCTTGTGCCCCCGCATGTCACCGGGAGGTGGAAGAGCACGTCCTCGTGTCGAGAACAATAGCGAAAGACAGATATATACAAAACGCGGATATTTCGCGGCGCATAAAGAGCGAGGCGCTTTCCGAGAATTTAAATAGAACGATTAAGGCACGCCTCGTTACGTCATGTAATGATTTTACCACCCACAAAGTCCTTAAATATTCCCCGGCGGTGGTTTCACATCCGTGAGACAAAGTCGGAAGATACATAATCGACAACGAACGAAGCGAAAGTGTGAATTACATTTCCGAAATTTAAAAACGAGCAATTTATTATTAAAAATAAAAAAAAATAAACCTTTTGACATATATATTATGTTTTAATATACTTTTTAATTAAAAAAGCGCGTCTCAACATTGTTACGTAAACAAATAAGTTTTATTACATCTCTAAAATTCCAGCGGTTTCGTCCGAGATAAAGTTAGAAGATGTCAACGCTTGTGTGTAAATTTAAACTCAAAAATCTAAAAGAGTGATTTATTAAAACAAAATAAAAACAGCAATTTAAAAAAAAAAAATGTCATATGTTAAATGTTTTAATATATTTTTCAGTTTCGCGAAATTGTTGCGTGTATGGGATCGCACGTCGAGCGAAGGCGGCCGTTGCGTTTTAGTTAATTAGTATGATCTTTGACATTTTGCTTTTGTTCCACAACGAATACACGTTGAAGTACAACACTCATATGCGCGCAACTATATACAACGCGATACAAAATCCTTCCCCAAGTGACTCTTGACATTTTCATGTATTTTTTTGTGATAATGCGGAAAAGAAGGGCTTTGCTATGCATTCGTTGTCCTTTTTACGGTATCAATCAAAGTACTTGGGAGAGAGATAATCCTTCAAGCAAGAGAATTGTACTGCGTAGTACGTGTGGCGAATATGATGTCTGTGCGTTTGACATATGATATTAACGATGAAATATCTTTGACGTTGGGGAATAACATAAAACAGGAAAACGTATATATATACACACACATATATATATTTTTTTCGAGATAAAATAAAAATCGAAGGAGAATTTACGTATCATCTCCGCTTGAAGGAATGCGAGTGTTTCTTTATTTGAACATATATAAATCAAGTAGTTTTCAATGCGCTAACGTTTTCTACAGATATTTTGCTCCGATATCCGAGCATTAACTCGTACATATCCGCTTCTCCCCGTCGTCAAAGATATAAGATTGTAACGAGTTTTAATAGGATCCTTTTGAGGTGAGGACTACTGCTGTGTGACTAGTTCAAGCGTGACATAAACGAGTACAGCAGAATCTAATGGATCGCTCGCAGTCACGGATTTATCGAGACAGGGATTTATTACGCTCTGGAGAGACTCTCTCTCTCTCTCTCTCTCTTTCTCTTTCGAGCGAGAATCTGTTTGCATTATATCGAGGTGTAACGTACAGACATTAATCGCGTTTCAGCGAGCTCTCGGGAAATGACTTGGAGAAAGCAATTAATTTATCAAATTTCTCGCGCCTCGATTTACGCACGACGCCTTAAACGGAATTAATACAAGGAAATTAAAATTGGTTTTGTTCGAAGAAACGCGTGCGAAATAAAGTATTTCGCTCCGTGCAATATTTCGTTTTATCACAAGAATGACACAATAATGCCGAGAGAAAAAAATCGAACACAATTCTCTTCTGTTTAATTTTACGTTTCCGTGAAATTATTTAAAAACCCGAAGATAACGCGAGAGACAGAATTATAATTAAAGCGCAATTAAAAAAAAAAAAAAACATTATTAAAAAAGAATGCTTGCGATAATTATTATTAGAAGAATAATAAAAAAAGCACGTTATTGTGTAGTAAATGAAATGCGATTGTTATTACTTGGGAGAACGCGCCGCGGAAAATCTTGCACCGTTCGGGAACGGAATTATACTCCGAGACTGTCGCGATATAATTTTACTCGGCGTGATGCCGAGTCGCGCTACGTTTGTAAAACGACGTAAAACGTTTCTGTTCTTAGCTTCGAGAGAGATAAATGTTCAAATGGATGCACTGTATGTATGTCTGCGCTGTGTTCGCGAAGTGAACGTGATGATAGATATAATGAATTTTCTTTACCTCGCAACCGCCTCGCTGTACACGAATCCGGCAGTTGCTCGTCTGACGACCTCGAAGCACAAATCAGAGCCGTCCATACTGAAAAAAAGAGAAAACAAAATATTAAAACGCAGAACACACCCGATAGGACGTCGATGAATACGCTTGAATAAATTGTGTACACACGTTTCTGTTTGTTAATAAATTTATCGATCAGGCAAGATTTATCGATAATCTTTCGATAATCAATTGCACTCTCGAGACATTATTATTTATGATAATTCGTGCGTGTCGCAATTTTACATGTGTGTGTGTATACAGAAACGTTTTGAAACGCATAATAATCAGTTTTCTAATAAAGTTATCGATCGAAATACTAATCGCGCGTGTATAACGGCAAAATCAATGAAAAATAACGTCACTGGTTAAAAGATGTTTTTTTGTTCGACAAAAACTCATCTCATTGAGCTAAAGGAAGTAAAGAAGTGCGCGACGCTATGTGTGTGTGTGTGTGCGCGCGCGTATGTGTGTCACATTATTTAAATAGTCTCGTTAAAAAGCGCCTTGAGCACCGAGAATCTATTAAAAACCGTGGCTATCTTATCCGATAGCGTGGATTATTTCAAGATCGCCTCGGATGTGTGTATCCAATTATAGCAAACCGTATAGTCGGACGTTATAATAGATATGGCAAACAATTAAATGGAAAACGTGCTTTTTCGAGAAAAGATTGAGCCGTTAAGGAAAATCACGTATGTTTGTTCGATTCTTTCAATTTTCGACAAATTCGACAAAAAAAAAAAAAAATCCGATGCGTCCCATGACGTAGTATCTACTATCGCCTGTAACGCGTGTGTGTAACGTTCCATTAGTCTGATAAGCTGCTAATAATTACGCAGAGACGAGAGAGAACAGAGACTTGTTGGCATATAAAGGACACGACTGACGCCCTTCGTTTCAAAAGTTTTCCGCTTCTAAAACAGGACCGGCTTAAAGTTCACGATTAAAAGTCTATAAATATAATAAGCTGTACATTTTTTCCCGCTCTTAATCTCTAAAAGTTTTCAAAATCGCGCTATTTGAGTTTCAATAAACCGGACAAAGACGAGTGTTCGCATACGCGCATATGTTTGTTCTAGATTATTCTTATTTGAAAAAAATGTAGGAACATAAAATACACTTGCAGAAAAAAAAGATAAAATACGAGTTCGATAGTTTTATATATATATATATACTCACTATTCGAATACCATGTACAACATGCCCTCGGAACTGTAAGTCTCCAGCAGTTCCACGATGTGCGGATGTTTTAACATATGGCATATTGTAGCCTCTCGTTTCAAATCTAAAACATGCGAAATGCAAATTTTACGCACCAGATGGTTTTCTTACGATAAAAATCGCAGTAATGCAAGACGCGATCAGATATTACCGCTGAATAACAAAATCGTATTTTTCATTTTTCTATATTTTACGTATATTTAAATACACATATAGTTTTATAGTTTCGCGCCTTGTTAAAATGAATTTCGTTATTAAAATTTATTAAAATGTATGTAAAAATTGTAAGACTTAAAAATTCATTAAAGTGTCACCTGTAAATTTGTAATTAACAGAAAATGTAATTTAAAATTAGACACAATTCAAAATTGGATACAACGCCGCGATACAATATTGTTGAAAAAGCAAATAATATGAAATAAAAGAGAAGAGATGAATATAATGTACGAGCGGAAGAAATGTGAGACACGTGTGCAACTAATATTTCAAATGTCAATATTATATAATATTATTCAATGTAATATTTAACAGAGAATTAATGTTGCAACGCTACACGGGCGCATAAATTTACACGATTTTATAATTAAACCCCAAAACCAAAAGCAAATATTGACAAAAAAAAATCAGAATAAGTTAATATTTTAACAGATATTTTTATATATAGATAATTTTTATATATATAAAGATATTTTTATATAGATAATTTTTCTATAGATATAAAAGACACGATTTTAAAACCTATATTTTGATGCAAAATTTTGAAACCACTATGTGATTCAAATTGAATATAAAAACTTTGTTTCCCCAATCGTTTTACCGAACTCAATTTAGATGCCGTATCTGCATCGAACTGCAGTGAAATCTGCAGTTTCGGGCAGATACAAAAGTCGGTTGTAACGAAAGCGCTCGTATTTTTTAGCCGCACGAAATCAGAAACATATCGCAGAAGGGTGGAAGAAACTAATTGCACCCCAGTTTTAGCCAAAGGCACATAACTTTTGCCGTGTAGTCCACACGATAGCTTTTCCGATAACGTGTAACGAGAAATTTTTCATAACCAGCGCTCTTATATAATTTTATAAATTTTAAAATTGAAAATAGTAATTTCTTTTTTTTTTACTTAATTAACATTCTTGTGATTAAATTAATTGGTAATTAGTTGTCGAATACACTTTCTTGATGAAAGTACATAAATGATTCAGAGAAAGAGAGAGAAAATGTGTGTGTGTGTGTGCGTGTGTGTTTATACCCGCGTTTTTTTCATCGATAATTTCATTGAGTAATTTAGTTTGTAATAAAAACTTTCCCCTCAAACTTTTATCATAAAATTATTATCCCATTATTTTGGAAGTTGATGATTAAATCGTTACAATCGCGCGCTATATGTATTAAAACCTTGTTGATGTAAATTTTACGCGCGATTAAAAAGCAAAAAGTTTCGTTCTCGATTCACAACTGTTGGATAATTTATTTAACTTTTTCGTTTAAAAAACATTTATGTTTTTTACGTTATTTTTGCCGTTAAAAACTGCGTGAAATTAAAAAGCACCAACGTACGCGATAGAAGAAAGAGCACCTGTAATACGTGTGTATTAAAAGTGCTAGAAAAGAAATGAAAAAGACGTCCTCGCAATATTCTACAAAATTGTCCTCCGGTGAAACAAATATCTCGTCTTGTGTATATCAGCAATGTTTCACAAACGGAAGAACGAAAAACAGACAAACCACCACTCGTTCCCATATAATCCACAACATTTTCATGTGAGGTAACACGTGATGTGTCAAAGACTCCCTATACTTAGTTGAACATTTGTGTTGTGTTCTTCTTTTTTTTAATAGCACATGTAGAATATGCTTCTGATATAAAATTCTTTCTTTTCTTTTTCTATCCGAGTTATTTTTTCCACATTGTCATTTATCAGTCTCGCAAGAAATCTTTCCGCGAACCGAACAGAGAGAAAGTGTTGTCGTTTCAAACTCGATCTTCTCTACTGCTGATCTTCTCTCCCGGCTGTTTGTCTGTTAATAAATCTCTGGTACGAAGTAGTTGCGAACGCTCGCCACTTTTCCGCGCGCTAACCTCGACGGAAATTAAATATTATCCCCCATTTCCAGAGCAAACGCGCTTTATTAGAGAGAAAAACGGACTTGAAACAATGCTTCTCGTATATTGTCTGGATCTGTCGGCCAGTTCGTCGGGGGGTTAAACCTCCGAAAAATGCGCGTGGCGACAATGGTCCGCCTTTCCATTCAATTGAACAATGGTTCTCGCGCCAGTTCACGACTTGAACCACCCTCTCTGTGCGTTCAGTCAATTGTACAACGTAGAGGGGAAAACGCACGTTGTCAGGTAGGCGGATATGGGAAGCGTATAGGGCTTGTTTCACGGACATTGGGAAATTAATGGAGAGTATTACAAGAAAACGGTGGAAAACTATTTCTCTCTTACTTCAAAGAACGCGCGCGTACGTGTGTGTGTTACAAAAAAAAATCTTAAAATAAATCTTCTTTTTTTTTTCACACGTTGCTCGTTTTAGGCAACGAGGAATTAAAATAGCTCCTTGAAATTAAAAAAAAAAAAACATTTTACCAAAATATATTACCGAAATGATTAAATAGATATATAAAAATAATTAGAAAACACTTAAAATAAAATTTAAAATAAAACTTCTTTTCTTATGTGGTTTTTTTCAAGAACAAAACATAAAATACCAAAGCGTTATATAATAATTTCTTAAAATTACAAAAAAAAATAATCTATCGAAATATATACTGAAGAACATCCCCCTCATAACAATATCTTATATATTATTCGAATTATAATATATAAAAAATATATAAAAATAAATAAATGTTTTTGCGAAGTAACATCAGAAGTAACACCTGCTTTTGTTCAAATTCAATATTTAAAGCGATACTCTCACTTGTAAAAATACACCGTACGTCATGTTATAAAGCTTCTCACGTTTGTGACATGTTCGAAGTTTATCGAAATCAGAGAAACACAATTCCGGTTCTCGGTTTTCTTCGTCAGAAACGACTTCCATGCGCCATTTGCTATATATGTATGTGTACTTACCCGCCGTGCTGAGCCCGGGACTCGATGTGAACTTCGCCACATCGACGATTTTTACGGCGAAAGTCTGCCCCGTCTGACGGTGAATGCACTTCCGAACGACGCTGAATGGTCCCCTGCAACAATGCGGGCGAGACGTCAACAATAATAATTACGTTCGCTCGAGGGGAGTCGCTCGAGCACGAATTACGTCAAGATAATCCGCAAATCATGAATAGAACACGTCTCATCAATCGATAATCAGATATCGCGCGCTATTAATACTGACGTGAATATTAACAGAACAATCGATCTGATTTTAATTTTGGAAAAATATTTCGCATCGTCTCTTCGGGTTTGCTGTCAAAAATAGTCCATTCTGTGATTTATCCCGCATTTTCGGAGCACACACCCTTACGATTCGGTAATGAAAAAGAAAATAAGAAATTTTATACGAAATTTCAATACAATGTTAAAATTTTGGTTTATTCGCGATCGAATTATTGAAACTTTACGTAGATGTACAATTTTGAGAGAACAGAGGTAAAGTATTAAATTTCTTCAGATCTCTTTGACACTTTATAGGCCAAGGTCACGTTCTTCCGGTGACCTAACGCCATTTTTAAATGTCGCGTGTGCACTATAACTCCATAGTTTTTCTTACGCATGTACGTACCACCTTTATATTCTTACACATGTACCTATATGTATAATTTTTACGAAGGTTTTTATATTAAGTGTAAGAAAACTTAAAAAAAAAAAAAAGAAGAAATGTCAATATAGGTTATAGTTCGCTAAGAAAACGATGAAACAAAGAAACAACGAAGAAGAAACGAAGAAGCACAAAAGAGAATTTCGAGTGCACGAAAATTTATTTTATTACACCCATAATAGATAAAAGTTTAGCTTTTATTTTTTCTGGACTTAAAATTATTTCTTTTTCTTTAAAAAAAAAAACAAATAGAAATATTGAATAAAATCTTGAAATATTGAAATAACGAGTGAAATATGTGGAACAGTAGTAGTAAAATAAGAATACAGTTTAAAACCACAGAAGAAAAAACTGTTTAGCGCATCTTTCTGCTCGATTGTTTCTCTGAATCGCAGATCTGCAGCAACGGATCAAGGCTTATCAATATCGCGTATCAAAATTACACGATATCAAGGACGACTTTTAACCATCTAAACAGGTTAATTAAGTGCGCGAATAGGTCACGCGCATCGCGCACAGATACTATACTTAAGAATCGAACTCGATACCGGTCTCGGGTTATCTATCGAATGATAACCACGCGTACATTCATGGAATTCATGAAAACCCGCAACGGAGAGAATGTGCGTGCAGCGGTTCACGTAAGCATCCTTGTGGTTTGTACGATGTGACTATATATATATATATGTGTTACGTGCGACAGAATATTAAACTGCAATAAGTACACAAGGAAATTACATTTGAAATGTGTGTAGAATGAACTCTCGCACCAAACCACAAATTATACTTTTCTCTGCTCACAGTAACGTGCGTGTAAATTTAATTTATTGTCGACTTTTTTTCACTCTCTGTGTCCTTTGTTGATGTAAAAAAAAAAAAAAAAACCACAAGTTTTTGCACCAGTTAATTGAAATATAAAACAGATATATTTTTAATTAATACAACGATATTGAAAATAACGACAGTAAAATATATATACTTTTGACACGTTCAAACATACATCGCGGAAATTAATTTTCGACTTCGATCATCGTACGTTAATGTATTATCGTACGCGCGTGTCTAAACACTTTTTTATCTTAATTTTATGTATCTTATTTTGCGACAACAAAATAAACCGTGATCGTAATATGCATAACAACCCTTGTAGGAATTGACGAACGGGCCAATATTGGGTCAATATCGGCAAACGAGGCTCGATATTGGTACGACAGTAGTAGCCAGTACTGGGCGAATATGCTTAATGATTAGATCGAGCCAACGCTGGCTCTTAAGCTCGGCACGATACTTACTTCCGAGATTGGTCAGA